GGCTAGGAGCTGGAACCAACTTCCAAGGGAAGTGGTGCTGGCCCCTACCCTGGGGGTCTTTAAGAAGAGGCTGGATGCCTACCTGGCTGGACTCATTTGAGTCCCGTTTCTTGTTTTGGGGTTTTGTTGTTCTCCCGCCCTGGCAGGGGGTCGGGCTAGAAGATCTACTAGGTCCCTTCCGGCCCTAAATCTATGAAACTATGAAACTATGATGTGCTGCTTTCGCAAGCACACATGCATCGAGGAGCAATAAACTCTGGAGTTTACTGCTTCACTTTAACTGCACATGTAGATGTATCACATTAATTGCACAGGTAGATGCATTTCTTGCACATGTAGATGCATTTCTTGCTTCACATTAATTGCACAGGTAGATGCATTTATTGCACATGTAGATGCATTTCTTGCTTCACAGTAACTGCACATGTAGATGCATCCACTGCAAAGCACAAGAGGTCCAATTCTGCTCCCTGTGACCACCCGGCAACCCCACTGAAATCAACGGCCTTATGCAGGCATAACCAAGAGGCCTTATGTGTTGGTGACTACAAGTGTCACTGCCTGGGCACTGCAGTTTCCAAACGTTTGCACCGCAGGGGGCTCAGAACAGAGGAAAGAAAGGAGGAATCAGCTTACCGATAAAATATGCCAGCAGGATCACCAGGGTGACTGAGATGATAATGGCACTCAGAGCGGCACATTTCCAGTTACAGTACTTATAGGGCTTCTTCAGGTTAAAGGCAGGCCTAGAGAATGTACTTCTGGGAAGGGGCCTAGGGGGAGGTGAGTACACAGTGCTGGACGTCAGGGGGTATCCTGGCGACGTTGTACAAAAGAGGGGCGAGGTGCCTCCAGGTTTAAACAGGAAGTGCCTGAGGGAAGAAAAACAAAGAAGCAGGTGACTTCTCCCCAGAATAAACGCCACGGGAGAATTCAGAGCATGGTCATGGCGGCGGCTGTCGGGGCGAGGAAAACAGCTTCACACAATGCTTTCTAAATACATGGACTGCATGCACAGAAGGGAAGAAGAAAAGAAAAGAAACGAACAGACAAGTCACACAGAGTCAGGAGAAACATCACAGTGTCAACGAATACCACAGAGAAGCCTTCAGCGGCAAGAGCCGTCTCCCTAAGAAGCTGACACCATGGTGAAATGAGACATCCCCATTACAGCTGGGGTGGACCTGTCATGCCAGCAGTACTGCAGCGGCCCTCGTCCTGCTCCTACCGAACCATCTGAGGGGATCTGAATGAGAGCAGTGTGAGGGCAGAGACACCCGAACGTTGCCCAAATGTACTGATTGCAGCATGAGAGACTCTTTTGCTTTGATTCACTAAGCGGGCATGGGGAAAAGGTCTTTTCACAAGCTGCAGTGGCACTTGTTTTTCCACTGCAGCAACATTAATGCGCTGGCCACATTTTGGCCCCTATATTTGACATACGGCTTGAGAGAGAGCGTGTCTACATGTCGCCCTACAGCAACATAGTGACGCGCCAGTCGCTGTACGACATGCTACGGCAACGTAACGATCACGTGTGTCATGCGTATTTACGATCACCAGCGATGTTGCTGTAGTGGTGCATTCCCCGGGTCTAGCGAACGTGGCGCTACGCCAACATAGCAGCAAAATGCACCCATGCACTGCTAAAGCACGGAGCCGTAGCAATGTCGCTGTATGCCAACGCATAGACACACCCAGAGAACAACATAAAGCAACTAGTGCAAGCCTTGTTAGTCAGAGGGAGGAATCCCATTAACTTCCCTGGGAGTTGGGGGAAAGTCAGTGGAGGGCATTTTAATCTCTCTACTCTAGGATATTTTTCAGGAGTAAAAGGAAAAGGCGAAACTGTGACAACTTGGGTGGCATGTCTGATTCTCCAGTAAAAAACTGGAGCATCTTCAATTGCATGGGATCAGAACTAAGATCAAAACCTGATGTAGCTAGTATTTTTTTACTTCAGTTTTATGGGCCGGGACTTCATTTGCTGTAAATTTGGTTTGCACCCTATATTTTTATCTCTTAGATGCATGCATACTAATGGGGGGGAATCATCTCATGCAGACACATCAATATGAAAAAAATCCCAGAACAATTTGTGCAGTCTAAAGGAACATGGCACAGCAACTGTGCTTCTTGGAAATACGAGATGAATATAGTGCGCGAAAGCACAATTCATCCTTTCTACCAGGGAACTGTGTTAACACTTTAATTCTTGCAGTACCTCCACTATTTTGATTTGCTTTGTTTTATTTAGATACAGGTTTACTGGTGCCTATTGAAGAGGCATCTGCAGTGATCAGCTATACCAAGCAGTACTGGAACTGTTGATGACTACCGAACTAGGAAACCACCGAGGTGCAAACCTTCAGACAGGCTGATGGGAGCTAAGCTGTGTTAGAAGCAGTTTAAAACTTAAAAGTTACATGTTCAAAGGTTAAATAAAAATGTCAGAATAGGATATTGCCTCAACATCAAAGGCCTGGCTTTAAAAGCCACGCCAGCATCACTGTCATCAAAGTTAAAAGATACTTCCGCATCTTTGCAAGACAATGAACCTGGAGAATATCAGTATCACTGAGCCAGCAAGAAAGTAGTTGAAAGTCTTAACTGAAATGCAAGGAACCTTAGTCCACAAGGGACTGCAAATTGCTGTAGGTATATCACCTTAATTAGTGAAATGACTTTCAAAACAGCAAAGAAAGCCAATGAGATGCTATGGATCATTAGCATATTAATGAAGCGCCATTAATATGAACAGGACTCTGTGCTTCAAGCTCAGGAACCTCATTTTGGAAGCCATCTTAGACAAGGCAAAAATGGTGTTGCCCTTACAAAATCATGGAAGTGGCCAAATGTTTTCATGCAAGGATCATAATGACTGTACAGTAAACAGGAAGACCACATAAGTGTCACATACCCATCATTGTAAGCACCGTCATGTCGGGAGGAGGTGAGAATGTCCATCTCAATGAGGTTGTCCTGCAATGTCTCTAGGAATGTCTGCTTTGCTATGTTTCTACATACATATGGAAACATGAATGAAGCCAGTGAGTCATGCATCTATGAAGTGTGACCTTATAAACCACAATGGTTATAGTGCAGTTGTGCATGGAATTAGAATGATGGACCATATATTTATATGTATAAGACATTACACATATACATATATAGCATTTAAAAATGTTCACTTCTATAGATATACTATATGTATGCATATACATATATATAAACACACATATCCCTGTGTGCATATATATATATTTATAAATATAACGTTATTTACTTGCTGTCTATATACATTTGTATTGTGCTGCCAATGCAGCTGTCCAGAATGAATTACATATAAAAAACCTTTTGATACACTGGATTCAAAAGACCAAATCTTAGTTTAGCACAGCAGTACCTTGATAATACGTCTGTACCAGTGGCTGTTACACTGAGGAGATGGCTTACTTTGCCCCAGAGAGTCAGCCTATCTCCATCTTCTGTCTTCACATTAAGAACTCATTCAGATGGCATTGCTTTTATTTGTCTACATAAGTCCCAACTTTCTTGCATGAATTAGTGATTGAATTAATCTAATTCTCTTACTGCTTTTAGTGGGACAGTGTTCATCTGAAATATTAAATTTGCAATATCTCAATTTTTTCAATGTGCACGTTTCAAATGAAAAGCTTCTCAATAATTGATGGGCAAAATGGGAAGTTATTTGGGTCATCTCAGACCACCAATTGCTTTTGGTGTTGGGCTGTTAACACCATGATTTTGGTTTCGCAAACAACAGCCGTGGGGCTGCAATGCCCTGTCCCTCTCCACTTCCGTTTCCACTTTCATAGAGACAGAAGCATATATGCTCAATGCTTTAATGCTTTTCTAAGCGAGCCAGAGTCATCCATCCAACTTGCAAGGTTTTATACTTAGAATTTCTATAATGCCCACCAGCCCAGGATTTTAAAGTGCTTTACAAGTACGGGTACTTTTTGTTAGCCTCTACTTATAACTGAGCCATCAACACAAAAGGTCCCCATATTAAGCAACAGGATAGAAGCACAGCTGGGGACAGAATTAAGACTTCCTCATCTCCAGTCCTGATAGGACCAGTCAGAACATCCTTCCTGTTGTTTGCAAAACAAAAACCAACCCATTCATTTGCCCATCTCCATTTTCAATACCCAAACAGAATCAAAGTCTGAATCTTGAACCCTGGGTAAATTCCCAGGCCAAGTCTAATAAGAAAAAAACAACAGCGTTGTGACACTATCACCAATGCAGGATTAAGCGCATACAGGATGTAAGTGATATGTGGTGAACTCAGCTGCAAACCCTATTAGTGAAGCTGCATTCAGATAGCAGGCCATACCAAGAGAAACTTCCAGCTGCCTTATACAAACCTTGAATGCCATGGCTTATTACATTTCCTTAACCCTAATTTTTTATATCCACTTCCTCCTTCCCCTCTTGTGAAGGCCAGTACTTGTTTAATTCAAGTTCCTGGCTTTGTTGGCTATGGACAGCTATGACAGCTGATATCAACTGTTTGTTAGTGGCAGAAACATAATTCATGTCCATAGCTTTCACAGGAAAGTGGTTCACATACATGGGCTGAGACACAGAGCAAACTCAAGCTATCAGCTCATCCCAGAGTATCTGCTCCTTCCTCTAGCTTCCCAGGAACGTAGGAGACATTGGATATTGAATTCAAGGTAATACAGAATCAACGCATGTGTGCACATGGAGCATTTAATGGATAAAAGACAAGACACCTAGCAATGCAGTAATCAATAAAAGTTCATCAGTAGTTAAAACCTGTGTAAAACTCATTTTACAATGGTTCTATGAATTTTGGTTGGGTATTGTCAATAAAATGGGAGAGAGCTGGGGTATATAATCTTATCATGCATGTGTCAGTCACAAAGCAGTCACACACTGGGCTCCAGAGGTGACGGTATTGCAACGGCCCCTTTGCCCACCCCTTACTCAGGGCTGGAGTCTACTCCCCTCATCCAACTTGAGTAGGAGCTTACTGGGTGAACAGCTGCAATACTCTCAGAGTAAGCTCCTGAGGTGAATCATAGAGGCAGGCTTTGTTCCTGCCTGATTATTAGTTGACATTCTCTGGGACTGGAGCTCCAGGTGTGCCAACTGAATGGTCAATGAGCTGGCATTGCCTTGCTCATGGCAAATTTGCATTTGCTGGAGCAGAAAGGGAAGGTCAGAGAAAAGGGGAGGAAGAAATGGCAGAAGGGAATATGGAGAAGAATGACTCACCTGAAAGATCTCACTGCTCAACAAGGATGTTTTCATCCCATCACGTGACAATACATTGCTTTCAAACATCAAAAGAGGGAGAAGAGAGGAAAAGAGAGAAGGAGAAAGAGAAATGGAGGAAAAAGGGGGTGAGGGAAAAGGAATGAAGAGAAAGAAAAGGGGAAAAGAAGAAGGAGAAGGGTTCCTTCTCCAGCAGCATATGAAATTTTCATGGACACAAGGTAGCACTAAACTAGCATAATTGAAACTGAAACACCTGTGCTACTAATTTATGTTGGCTTTTGCATCAAATCCAATAGACTCCAGGTGTTGGACATCTCAGCCACGCTGCGTCATTCAAAATCCAAACTTAGTTCTGAATTCTGTCAATAGTCCCGACATTTAATCCCTTAAAGCAAGCACTTTCAGATGCCGGTGTGTTTGGAAACAGGTGCTGTATGCACATTTTCCATCTTGCAGTGGTCTCTATTTAAAAGTCAGAGCTTTCTTTATGTTCTCTCTCTACATTGGCTAATGTGGGATTAAAAAAAACAGGGATATTTAAGAGAAATACAATTCCATTTCTGACATGAGATTATCATAATACCATATTTCTACACTTCAAAGGCCTTAATTCTTGGATTAATGTCTCTTGCATAGAATTTATTTTTTACATGTTGAGCTTTTGTGATTTATTATTCCACTAGCTGGGAATCTTTTTGGTTCCCAGATACTTAGTTAGGTTTTTGGGTTGTTTTTTTTTTTTTAGTGGGAAGATCTACATAGTCTGTGTGTTCAACAGGCAATATTCTGTTCTCCAGTCTGAAGACCATATCTGAGTGCTGGTCTTCATGTCTTCTGGCATGTTCATAATTCCCACTCAAGCAAATGGAAGATCTGTGCTTCTGATGGAGATTTGCCATATATTACTGACCCTTCATGGAGTGCAACCTCCACATATTAAGATGTCATCATCTCTCCAGCATATTTTATTCTTTTGACAGTTTGTTTAGTGAGGAATGGCTATCTCTCAATGATACACACTGGATATACCACTTTGCCACTCACTACAAAAAGTTTAGACTCTTTCAAAGCACAGTGTTTGTCCGGAAGGATACCGGACAAAATTGAACATAAATACCATCCTTTTCTAGGGGCTGTATCAGAAGTTACCGGAAGTGTTTTGCCAAATAGTCATTTTCTGTCTCAATGTCAGTTTATAAATTGTTGACATCCAGGGTCAATTAGCTAGGACAGTAGTTTTAGAAGCAAGTGAAGGCCTTAAGTAAGTAGGACTATCACTTGTGAGAAGACTTCAGATGTCCACTTGTTAGGGTTGGAAATACGAATGTACCACCCCCTCCAAGACAGTCAAGTTATATACAGCTGGAACCAGCTGCTTCACATTTGGAGAAATATCCACCAGGGCCTACTATGCTGGAGGGCTAGTGATATCATTGGGAGAGATGTGTCAGTTTTTTAGTTTAATTCAGAGCAAAGCCTGGGCACCAGACACTTAACAGACGCTTTCTGTCTTTATGCTATACCTGTTAAGATTCCTCTCGGTCTTTCTCAATCTCATGGCCCTGGGATTGAGACATGTGACTTGGGGTGGGATGTTGTTAGCTGAGGGATTTTGATATCTGATCCAACAAAGACAGATTACTATTTACTTTTGGTATGATAATAGTTGCTGGGAGGTCCCAGTTAGATTTGAGGATCCCATTGTGTTATGCACTGTGCCCACACACGAGAGGAAGCAATCGTTCTTCAGAGAATTTATAATCCAGTTAAGGCAAGATGCCTCAGACAGTAAGAAAGAAAGGAGCCTTATGGCATGATCCCCATGTAGTTCCCCCCACTAAAAAGGACTCAATGGTTATGAATGACTTGAAAGGTGTTATCTCCTACTTTTTTCTTTAATGAATAGAAATCTACTAGCCCTGGCTACAGCTCAACCAGACCATCTTCACTTCATAGGTTTATTCTATGTGTTAAGGCATTAGTTGACAGTAACCAGTTTCCACACTGCTTAACCCACATTATGTGCACAATAGGAAAGGAACAATGTGAAAAAAAATTAAGAAGAGGTTAGGTGGATAGGTACCCCGGATAGCAAAAAGCTTGCTCCTTCAGGCTTATTCATATGAACAATGCCCTGAAACCAATGGGACTCACTATAGAAAGCCTGAAGGACTGGAACATAAACAATCTATTATCTCATTTTCTTTAATGAAGAAATAACACATCACATTC